TGTAGAGATGAGGTTTCACCATGTTGCCTAGGCTGGTCTCAAACCCCTAAGGTCAAGTGATTGCCCACCTCAGCCTCCCAAAGTGCTGGGATTACAGGCATGAGCCACCACACTTGGTCTTCAGACATGTTCTTTTTGGTTTTAGGAGGATTGAAGAGTTTTTGTAATAGTGCACCATAATCAGATTTGCCTGTTAGAGAGATGAGTTTGTCTCTTGTGGGAGACAGACTTGAGGCTGGGAGAGCAGGAAAAGGGACTGCAATGGGCCAGGAAGGAGAATGAGGTCTGAACTCCTGCGGTAGCAGGAACAGAGAAGGAATCTGATATCAGAAAGAAGGAACCAAATGCTTTGGAGACCCATTGGCCATAGAAGTAAAGAATTAGGGGCCATGGCTCATGCCTGTAATCCCAGAAGTTTGGGAGGCCAAGGTAGGCAAACTCCTGAGGTTAGGAGTTCGAGACCAGCCTGGCCAACATGATGAAACCCCATCTCTACTAAAAATACAAAAATTAGCTGGGCATGGTGGCATGTGCCTGTAGTCCCAGCTACTTAAGAGGCTAAGGCAGGAGAATCCCTTGAACCCAGGAGGCAGAGGTTGTAGTGAGCCGAGATCACACCACTGCACTGCACTGCACTCCAGCCCGGGCAACAGAGTAAGATGCCATTTCAAAAAAAAAAAGGATGTCCTGAAATCAGTGATTTATGGCATAAACTCACTTATATCCTAATAACCCTCTGAACTAAGTACTATTAATCTCATTTGACAAATCAGGTTAACTTGCTCTCTACCAGCTCCATATGGGTAGCAAGTGGCAGAGCCAGTCTGAATTCAGGCAGTCTGGTTCTGAAGTCTGTGCTCACGGCTGCAAGCATAGGCCTCTAATACAGCATCACATTTAAGTTCATGACTGCCTCGGCACAGGATGCTGTGTTACACACAATACTAGAAACACTGGAGAAGCTGCCCCTCGCGCCGCACGCAGCTCCATTCTCAGTGGGAAGCAACCCAGAAGGGAAGTAGGTCAAACTCTCAGGCCAGTGATTGCAGAGAGGGAGCTGTGCTGGCACTGAGGACTGTGGACGCCTCATTTTATCTCAAAGAAAACACCATGTTCCCTTGCATGTTGTTCCTGACTATAAGCTTTGACATTCTTGGTTGAAGAGACAAGATGTTTAAGTGATGTGGATAAAACAATAAAGAGTCATCTGATTGGGCACTGTGGCTCACATCCATAATCCCAGCACTTTGGGAGGCTGAGGCAGGAAGATCACAGGAGGCCAGGAGTTCAAGACCAGCCTGGGCAACATAGTGAGATGACATCTTTATTTAAAAAAAATATATATATATATACACACACACACACACACACACATATATGAAAACTCCATTTCTATAAAAAAATTAGCTGGGCATGGTGCACACACCTGCAGACCTAGCTACTCAGGAGGCTGAGGTGGGAGGATGGCTTGAACCCAGAAGGGGGGTGTTGCAGTGAGCTGAGATTGCGTCACTGTACTCCAGCCTGTGTGACAGAATGAGACCCTGCCTCAAAAAAAAAAAAAAGACAATCATCTGCAGAGAGCTATGCCGTTTTTAATATTACCTAAAGCTGAAATGTATGAAACAAAAAACTATGACTCTTGGTCAGGACAGAGTGCTATGCTCCTCACAAAATTTGCATGTTTAAGTGTTCACCCCCAGTGTGATGGGATTAGGTGGGGCATTGATTAGGTCTTTTTTTTTTTTTTTTTGGAGACAGGATCTCACTGTCGCCCAGACTGGAGTGCAGTGGCATGATGTCAGCTCACTGCAACCTCTGCCTCTGGAATTTAAGCAATTCCCATGCCTCAACCTCCTGAATAGCTGAGACTATAGGTGCCCACCACCACACCTAGCTAATTTTTGTATTTTTAGTAGAGACAGGATTTCGCCAAATTGGCCAGGCTGGTCTCGAACTCCTGGCCTCAAGTGATCTGCTCGCCTCAGCCTCCCAAAGTGCAGGGATTACAGGTGTGAGCCACCACATCTGGCCATAATTAGGTCTTAAGGGCAGAGCTCTCATGAATGGGATTGGTGCCCTTATAAAATTCAGGTTGAGTATCCATAATCTGAAAATCTGATCTAAAATGCTCCAAAATCTGAAACTTTCCACGTCTCAATGTGATGCTCAAAAGGAAATGCTCACTGGCACATTTCAGATTTGAAATATTTGGATTAGGGATCTTCAACTGGTAGACCCATCTCTATGAAAACAGTTAGTTAGCTGTGGTGATGTGCCTGTACTCCCAGCTACTCAGGAGGCTGAGGTGGAAGGACAGCTTGAGCTCACGGGTTTCAGGCAGCAGTCAGTCACGATCATGCCATTGTATTCCAACCTGGATGACAGTGAGATGCCCCACCGGAAAAAACCCACAACCCTAACAGAAAGTAGATTAGAAGCTGTCTAGTGCTTGGGTGGGGGATGGGGCATGGAGTGAATGCTAATTGAGGCTGGGGTTTCTTTTTGTTTTAAAAATGATTGTGGTGATAGTTGCACAACTCTGAATACACTAGAAGTCATTACATTGTACATTCAGTGAGTACATTTTATAGTATGTTAGTTATATCTCAATAAAATTGTTAAAAAGGAAATTCTAATGGAATTTGGATTATTTCCATTTATTTGGTGTATGGCATTTATTTTCAGTTTTATTTTACAAACACTTACATGGTCTTGCTAGGTATCAAGTACTGGGTTCCAAACGCTATATAAATCTGAATTTATTTCATCCTCATAACGCTGTGAAGTGGATAGTAATGTTATCTCCATTTTACAGAGGCACAGAGAGGTTAAGTAACTTACCTAATATCTTTCAGTTGACAATGGCAGTCAGGATTTGAACCCTGCCAGTCTGGTTTCAGAGTCTGTGATCTTTATTTATTTTTCAAGAATTAGGGTCTTGCTATGTTGCCCAAGCTGGAGTACAGTGTTATTCACAAGCATGATCCCATTACTGATAAGCATGGGAGTTTTGACTTGCTCCATTTCTGATCTGGGCCGCTTCACTCACCCTTAGGTAATATGGTGGTCCCCGGCTTCTGTGGGGTCACCATATTGATGCCAAACTAAGGACACCCAATGCTCACAGCATGTGATAGCCAAGAACTCCTGGGCTCAAGTGAGTCTCCCGCTTCAGTTTTACTAGTAGCTAGGACTATAGGCCTGTGCCACCAAGCCAAGTCAGAGTCTGTGATCTAACCATTCTATTATGCCACCTTTCCCAAGAACGTTTACAGTTTTTTTTTTTTTTTAAACTGTAACTAGTGCAGAAAATTAAAAATTAGTTCATGGAGGATTTGAGGACAGAGTTTAGGAATGTATCCCTAGGTACAAGGCTAAATGTAAATATGTAGCAATGCCTAATAGAGGCGGGGCACTGTTCTGGTACTCTGGGTAGGGGTTGATGGGGAGGATAGAAAACATAAAGACAAATGATATAGGGTCCACGAAGAACTGTCAACTTAATTCACATGCAATGTGGTGTTGGTATTCGAGAGTTTCCGAAATGTTCTGGGTAGAAGAGCAAAACAGTAACATTTGGGTTTTATAAAGTAAGGCATAAAATAATTTACTCATTAAATCAAAGGAGGTAGGAAGATCAGTTGGGAAAGTGATAATCCAAAAACAGTAAGTATTTGAGTTTCAGCAGGAGGAATGAAAACAGATTAAAGAATTATTTCATAATTAGAAATGTCCAGATTTAGATACTGAAAAGTGGGGGCCAGAGATAGGAATGGTTCGAAGATGACTGTACAGTTTTGGCCTAGGTGACTGTGAAAACAGTAATGCTATTAACCAAGCAAAAGAGCACAGAGGCTGGGCGCGGTGGCTCACGCCTGTAATCCCAGCACTCTGAGGCTGAGGTGGGTGGATCACGAGGTCAAGAGATGGAGCCCATCCTGGCCAACATGGTGAAACCTCCCTCTCTACTAAAAATACAAAAATTAGCTGGGTGTGGTGGCGTGTGCCTGTAATCCCAGCTACTCCGGAGCCTGAGGCAGGAGAATGGCTTGAACCCGGGAGGCAGAGGTTGCAGTGAGCCAAGATTGCGCCACTGCATTCCAGCCTGGCAACAGACTCTGTCTCAAAAAAAAAAAAAAGGAATATTGAGAGGAGTTCAGTTAAGGCATTTAGTTGTAGAGATATTAAGACTGGGGACTGGTAAGCAATCGTGATAATATTCAAATATGCAGAAACTAGGATTTGGAGGCCAGAAAATTTCTATTTCTGAAGAAATAAAATGACTCCTTTTTTTTTTTTTTTTTTTTTATTTTATGCAAGAGTCTCACTCTGCCACCCAGGCTGGAGGGCAGTGAGCGACCTCGGCTCACTGCAACCTCTGCCGCCCGGGTTCACGCGATTCCCTCGCCGCAGTCTTCAGATTAGCTGAGATCACAGGCGCGGGCCACTAGGCCAGGCTAATTTTTGTATTTTTAGTGTATACGGGGGGGGGGGGGGTTCCACCATGTTGGCCAGGCTGGTCTTGAACTCCTGACCTCAGGTGATCCGCCGGCCTCGACCTCCCAAAGTGCTGGAATTACAGGCGTGAGCCACGGCACCTGGCCTACAGTATTTCTGATGTAACATCGCAGAAACATTGGAGGAGAGAAAAGAATACACTTCCACTCAGAATTTCGCACCCTGGTCGCCTTCGCCGGTTAGGTTCACACGCTGAACCGCCTCGCCCCCGCCGGTGAGGATATCTCGGCCTGGGCAGAGACCCGAAAGCCTCCTCCTGCAGCTCAGGATGTTAACAGCAGGGAGAGCAGTGTCTAGTCTTGCCCGTAGCGGCGTCGCCTACAGCCGCGCCGCGTTGCCAGAACCTCACTAGTTTTCCTCCCGGCCGCCGGTTTCCCCGGATTCAGCCACCTTCCCTCTTCCTGGGACGTGCACGCGCACGTGCGTGTGTGTGCGTGCGTACGTGTGTGTGTGTGTTTTTTTCTGGCGCCCGGAAGTGCGTCATCAGCCGGCGCCAGCGGCCGCACGCCGCGGAGTAAGGGCTTAGAGGTTCTGGGTTGCCGGTGCTCGACCACGCGGGTGGGAAAGGAGCTGGGACTCGAACGGTGTTCACCGCTTCTCGGCGCCGCCATGCAAGTCTCCAGCCTCAACGAGGTGAAGATCTACAGTCTCAGCTGCGGCAAGTCCCTTCCTGAGGTGAGTCACTTCCCGGCCCCCTCACTCTCGAGCTCTTTAGGATCGTTCCCCTCGTGGGGCAGCCGCCCCTCTCCTCGGCCCTAGCCTATGTTTTAGCTGGACCCATGTCAGCCCCCGACTCGGGGAGGCCCAGAGGAGGCTGACGGTTCCCTGGGGAGATTGCCGGCAGTGGGAGACGAGGATACTGCTGTTACTGCGCCAGAAGCTGAACCAAGAGGTAATAAGGGTCAGTGAGCTTTGCTGCAGCTTTTGCAAAGTTCTCTGTTCCAGAGAACCCTTCCATTTGGGCTTCTTTGGATGTTCACAGTCCCTGCCACACACCGAGGAGGAAAATGTGGACAGATTGATGGACAGATCTCTACTCCATATTAACCACCTCCCCATTTTCATGTCTGCCCTGTCAGCTGTTTGTTGAGTTCGTATCATTTGCCAGGTCCTAGGGATACAGCAGTGAACAAGAGCGATACAGACTTCACATTTGTAGAGTTTCTGATGTAGAGGACAGTGTTTTCGAGACTTGCTGAACTTAACCTGGTTCCTTGTCTTAAAGTTGGAAAGGGATTGGACAAATCGGTAATTCTCTTCCAATCTTACCGTGTTTAATAATGCAGCTGAGATTTAGTAATGCGTTTAATATGCAGCTGAGATCCAGCAAGGGGAAGGGTGACTTGTCCAGCATGACACACCTAGGTTCTGAAACTTGTCTTTTATTTCTTTTAAGTGATCAAGCCTCTGTGAAAGCACTACCATTGAGCACTACCTTTTATGGAAGCTCATTTCCATTTTGAGACTCTGCACTTGTTAGAAGGTGGTTTTCAAACATGTCACTTTACAGCATGCCACTGTTGGTCTGAGTCCTGCCCCTGGAAAACAGTAAATAGAGCTCTCCTTCCATGTGTCTGCACCTAAAGAAATTTGGAGCCAGTGATTAGGTTTTTCCTTTCTTCTCAAAATTCCGGTTTAAATAATCCCATCTTCCAATTGTTCTTCACACCGCATGATCTTTCTCATTTTGTTCATTCATTCTCCACACTTACTGAGAAGTTACCATGTGCAAGCAGCTCTGTATTAAGTATTGGGATATATGGTGGATGTCTTAGATAAGGTTTCCCGTTGAGGGAAAGGATAATAAACAAGTGAGTAAATGAGAAGGCAATTTCAGGTAGTCAAAAGTACTTTTCGTGATGAATGATTGGAAGAGAGCTGTGTTGGATAAAGTGTTCAGAGAAAGTGTTTTGGATAAAGCCTTCGGGGAAGGCCTCTCTATAGGAGGTGGCATTTGAGCAGAAACTTGAACGATGAAGAGGAGCCAATCATGTGAAGATAAAGGGAAGAGTTTTCAGTGCTGAGAGCAGAAAGTACAAAGGTCCCCACGTGAGAATGCACTGGACATGGAGAAGGACCAGAGGAGGCACAGGTGTGATCGTAGTATGCTGAGTGAGGGGAGAGAGCAGGTGGATGAGGCTGGAGAAGTAGGCCTGGTAGGAAGGGTAGGAAGTTCAAGTTTTTGTTTGTTTGTTTATTTATTTATTTGCCTTATTTATCGTTTTTCTTTTTTAAAATTTTAAAACACATATAAAATATTTTTTTTTACTCTTTTTTTTTTTAAGATTTTTTTTTTTTTAAAGATGGGGTTTCACCATGATGGCCAGGCTGGTCTTGAACTCCTGACCTCAGGTGATCCACCCACCTCGGCCTTCCAAAGTGCTAGGATTACAGGCATGAGCCACCACGCCCAGCCGTAAGTTCAAGTTTTATTCTTAGTGCTGTTGGAAGTCACTGTTGTGTTTTGACGTGGGCTGCTGTGTGACAAATGACTAGCTGAGGAGGGTTCGACTGGGGTTGAGTTAGGTAGTTCAAGTGAATGACTTTGGTGGCTTGGACTTGCCTGGTAGCAAAGAAAATGCTAAGACACAGTGAGTTTCAGGAGCTATTTTGGAGGTAGGGCTAATGGAACTTGATAATGGATTGGATTGTTGGTAGAGGGAAGTTGAGGAGACAAAAAGGAAGGAATCAGAGAGCTCTTCAGTTTTGAGTCCGAACAGGCGGGTGCATGGTGGTGCTGCTGACAGGAGAAGAATCAAGAAGGAGCACATTGAAGGGTGGGGAGGAGGAAGGTAATGAACAAAAAGAATCAAGAGTTTTATTTTCAATAATGAATGTTTGAAGTTCTAATACATACCAATTGAGTAGTTAGCAGTTGCATGGATACTGTATGGAGATTGCAGGTGGAGTCACTGTCGTTGTTTGAGGCTAGGTGAGATCATACTGTGAAAGAATGAACAGAGAAGAGAACTGGGCCAAGGACCTAAGGCAGTGTTAACATTTGTCATCCAAGAAGAAGAGGGGAAGCTAGCAAAGAAGAAAGAGCAGTAGGCACTGATGAAAGGGGAGAATCAGAAATGTGTAGTTTTGTAGAAGCAAGTGTTTCAAGGAGGAGGGAGTGGTCACCTGTGTCAACGGCTACTGAGAGCTTTAGTAAGATGAGGGCAGAAAAGAGACCATTGACTTTGACGTGATACAGAGCACCACCGACCTTGGCAAGTAGTTCCCGGGGAGTGCCAGGGAGAGTAGCTTGAGCTGAGTGGATTTGGAAACCCTGCTTGTCCTGGTTAATGTTTCATAGTTATTTCTTTGAGGTTGGTACCTAAGCTACATGTGGAACCCCAGCTGTTGTCTGATCTATGCAAATATTATTTCTCTTCTGGGCTCGACCTTTCTATTAATGTAGAGAAGCCTCTATATTTGCTCCCTGGGTGATCTGTCCAGTCTGCTGGCTTTAAGCATATCTGCATATTGATAACTGTCACATTGATGTTTCTAGCCCTTACCTCTACTCTGAACTGGACTTGCGTATCCAGCTGTTCCTTAACATCTCCACTTGGATAGCTGATGGGCATCTCAAACTTCACCTGTCCAGAGAACACCAGCTTTCCCCCCTCATACCCTGCTCCTCCAACCTGTGGTCTTCCCGCTCTGTCAGTGGCAGCTCCATCCCTGAAGCAGTTGATGCCAGAACCACTGGAGGGTTTTTTATTGTTGTTGCTTCTTTGCTTATACAATCCACTAGAAAAGCTGTTGGTTCTGTCTTCAGTGTAGATCCAGAATTCAGTCATCTCCATTACTGTCACTCTGATTCAGGACACCGTCACCCCTGGATTGTGCAATTGCAGTGACTACGGTTGACTTCTTCCTTTTTTTAATAGCGTATATAACACTCCTATTCGACGATACTGCGGTTGACTTCTTCCTTTTTTTAATTGCGTATATAACACTCCTATTCGACGATACTATGGTTGACCTCTTTCTTTTTTTAATTGCGTATATAACACTCCTATTCGACGATACTACGGTTGACTTCTTCCTTTTTTTAATTGCGTATATAACACTCCTATTCGACGATACTGCGGTTGACTTCTTCCTTTTTTTAATTGCGTATATAACACTCCTATTCGACGATACTGCGGTTGACTTCTTCCTTTTTTTAATTGCGTATATAACACTCCTATTCGACGATACTGCGGTTGACTTCTTCCTTTTTTTAATTGCGTATATAACACTCCTATTCGACGATACTATGGTTGACTTCTTCCTTTTTTTAATTGCGTATATAACACTCCTATTCGACGATACTGCGGTTGACTTCTTCCTTTTTTTTTTTTTTTTTTTTTTAATTTTTTATTGGATTATAGGTTTTGGGGTACATGAGCAGAGCATGCAAGACAGTTGCATAGGTACACACATGGCAGTGTGCTTTGCTTTTCTTCTCCCCTTCACCCACATTTGGCATTTCTCCCCAGGCTATCCCTCCCCACCTCCCCCTCCCACTGGCCCTCCCCTTTCCCCCCAATAGACCCCAGTGTTTAGTACTCCCCTTTCTGTGTCCATGTGTTCTCATTTTTCATCACCCACCTATGAGTGAGAATATGCGGTGTTTCATTTTCTGTTCTTGTGTCAGTTTGCTGAGGATGATGTTTTCCAGATTCATCCATGTCCCTACAAACGACACGAACTCATCATTTCTGATTGCTGCATAATATTCCATGGTGTATATGTGCCACATTTTTCCAATCCAGTCTATTATCAATGGGCATTTGGGTTGATTCCAGGTCTTTGCTATTGTAAACAGTGCTGCAATGAACATTCATGTGCATATGTCCTTATAGTAGAACGATTTATAGTCTTTTGGATATATACCCAGTAATGGGATTGCTGGGTCAAATGGAATTTCTATTTCTAAGGCCTTGAGGAATCGCCACACTGTCTTCCACAATGGTTGAACTAATTTACACTCCCACCAACAGTGTAAAAGTGTTCCTTTTTCTCCACATCCTCTCCAGCATCTGTTGTCTCCAGATTTTTTAATGATCGCCATTCTAACTGGCATTGGCAACAAAAGCCAAAATAGACAAATGGGACCTAATGAAACTCCACAGCTTCTGCACGGCAAAAGAAACAGTCACTAGAGTGGATCGGCAACCAACAGAATGGGAAAAAATTTTCGCAGTCTACCCATCTGACAAAGGGCTGATATCCAGAATTTACAAACAACTCAAGCAGATTTACAGGAAAAAAAACAAACAAGCCCATTCAAAAGTGGGCAAAGGATATGGACTTCTTCCTTTTTTTAATGGCGTATATAACACTCCTATTCGATGATACTGCGGTTGACTTCTTTCTTTTTTTAATAGCGTATATAACACCCCTATTCGATGATACTACGGTTGACTTCTTTCTTTTTTTTAATTGTGTATATAACACCCCTATTCAATGATACTACAGTTGACTTCTAAGCAGTTTCTCAGTTTCCACCCTCTACCCCCTTTATTCCGCGGTTTGTTATCATTCAGCTGCCAGAATGATCCTCTACTCAAAACTCTCCAGTGGCTCCTGGCCTCTTCGGGGTGAAAACCAGAGTCCTTTGAGTGACCTGCAAGGTCCTCCTTGATGTGCCTCCTGCCGTCCTCTCTGAACTCCTTTCACTGCTCTCCACTTGACGC